GCGGGGGCTATTAATAGGCAGGGCAGAGAGGCAGGCAGCCCCTGCCCACAGCCGGGACCCCCGTCCCCGAGGGGACCTTGCAGGGTCCCCGTCCCTGGTGGGGTCGGACCAGCCCCACCGCCAGCCGCTCTCCTTCATCCCAGGCCGTCACCATCATCACCTACAAGGAGCCCGAAAACCCTGAGTACCGGCCCTTCCTGGCACGGCTGAAGGAGGAGGCGCTCACCCACTTCAACTTCTCCATGAAGGACGGCTTGGTGGGACATGGGGGGATGGAGCTGGGAAAGCTGGGGGGCACAGGGTTAGGGGGGCACTGGAGGGAGCGGGGGCCATTCAGGGATGGAGCTGGGGCTTCTGGGGGACAGGGGATGGAGCTGGAGCTGCTGGGGGACAGGGGATGGAGCTGGGGGCAAGGGGATGGGATGGAGCTGGAGCTTCTGGGTGACAGGGGATGGAGCTGGGGACAAGGGGATGGGATGAAGCTGGAACTTCTGGGGCACAGGGGATGGAGCTGGGGACAAGGGAAAAAGGGGACAGGGGATGGAGCTGGAGACAAGGGGGCATGGGATGGAGCTGGAGCTGCTGGGGGACAGGGGATGGAACTGGGGACAAGGGAACAAGGGGACAGGGGGTGGAGCTGGGGACAAGGGGACAGGGGATGGAGCTGGAGCTGCTGGGGGACAGGGGATGGAACTGGGGACAAGGGAACAAGGGGACAGGGGGTGGAGCTGGGGACAAGGGGACAGGGGATGGAGCTGGAGCTGCTGGGGGACAGGGGATGGAACTGGGGACAAGGGAACAAGGGGACAGGGGGTGGAGCTGGGGACAAGGGGACAGGGGATGGTGCTGGAGTTTCTGGGGGACAGGGGATGGAGCTGGGGACAAGAGGATCGGGTGGAGCTGGAGCTGCTGGGGGACAGGGGATGGAGCTGGGGACAAGGGAACAAGGGGACAGGGGATGGAGCTGGGGACAAGGGGATTGGGTGGAGCTGGAGCTGCTGGGGGACAGGGGATGGAACTGGGGACAAGGGAACAAGGGGACAGGGGATGGAGCTGGGGACAAGGGGGCATGGGATGGAGCCAGGGACCCAGGACAGAGCCAAGGCTGCAGGGGATGAGGAGCTGCGCGATGCCCTGTGGCTGCTGGGAATGAGGGGAGGGGGACCCCCGGCTGTGCCCTGTCCCCGAGCCATCTCCGTGCCCCCAGATGAACTTCATCGCGGCCGCCTTCCACGATGGGGTGCTGCTCTAAGCCCAGGCAAAAAAAAGGGGCGTCTCCTTCACCAACGCCCCCGCCATCACCCGCCAGATGTGGAACCGCACCTTCTATGGTGAGCCCCGTCCCCACCCGCCTCCTGCCCCCAGCCCGGTGGGTGCTGCCTGCCACACTCCCGGGATGATATTTTGGGATCAGAGCCCCCACCCATGGGCTGGGGTCCCCGGGTTCGTCCGCCCCAGCCCCTCATCCTCCATCCCCAGGCGTCACCGGCTTCCTGAAGATTGACGAGAACGGGGACCGGGAGAGCGACTACTCCCTGTGGGACATGGACCCCACGCGGGGGGAATTCCAGGTGAGCCCCAGCGCGGGGGCAGCCGGTCCCACAGGGTGACTGGGGCCTCCTCCCACCCATTTCTTGCCCCCTCCCCAACAAAA